ATTCCATTACATAATTTGGTTCCACAACTATGTCTAAATTTATAAGTCAATTTCCTGTGTTATTATCTCCATTTTAAGCTACATTTTCTCTGCACATTAATATGTATTCCATTACATAGGCCAAGCCCAAAATTCACCCTCAAATAGGAGGTAGGAACAGATCTATTTTTTAAAAAAAAAAGAGTTGCCAATTTGTTTTTTTAATTGTTTATTCAGATCAATCACTTATTATTTAATATGTGATATTATTATGTATTAGCTTTTCATTAAAAATAGACTTAGGTGATAGACAAGTTCTTGACGTGTGATGATATTATATATTAAATAATGAGTAATTTGTTCTAACTGATAATTTAAGAGTAATTTATCGTTACTTTTTTTAAGGGGTAAATCTCCTCTTACTGCCTATTTAGTGACAAATTTAGGAGTTTGACCTTATTTTGGTTCCATAACCATATCTAAATTTAAGAGTGATCAGTTTCCTACGTCATTATTTCCATGTTAAGTAATTTTTTTTTTTTGTAGATTAATATGTATTCCATTACATATTTAGTTCCACAACTATGTCTAAACTTTTAAGTTATCAGTTTCCTGTGTTATTATTTCCATGTTAAGCTAAGTTCTTTGGGTAGACTAATATGTATTCCATTACATACTTTTATTTCATAACCATGACTAAATTTATATTGGTTAAATATCAATTTTAGTTTCTCAACTTTCAATTTAGAATACTTTTGGGCTCTAAACTATTTTAAGTATTTTTAATTTTTTGTCCTCAACTATGAAAAACATATATATATATATATATATATATTTTAATTTGTCTTTCCACCAGTTAAGTGTTAGGTGGCAATGTTTTCCATTAAATTTTTTTCATTAATTTCAGATATTAGATAGAAAATAAAGCCCATGCCTTTTCCCTTAGGTGAACAAGATGACAAATAATGTGGCTTTTTAATGTTATGAGGACCATTTTAGGGCCCACTCTATCAAAACTAAATATACATCAAATTATGTTATTTTAAGTGACGAAAGAACCAAATAAATACATTTTTTCAGAGTTAAGAGGCAAAAAAAAGATAATTTAAGAACAATAATTGACATTCATCCATTTCTATTTGACGAGAATCTTTTTTTGCTGTCGGCATTTAGATAAATAGAACAAAACATTCTCATTCTCTCTTTAAAATATGTTATTTTAATTTTTTAATATAAATTTATTAAAATAATATAATTTTGGGTATTTTCGTCATTTTTTTAAAGAAAAAATTTGATAAACACTTTTTTCATGTGTATCTTAGGTTTTTTAATTAAAAAATATTTTTTTGAATTGATATCTGGATATGTGAACATTTGAATTTGGAATTTGGACCAATACCTCATTTGCTAAAGATAGAGTGATTATATTCTTTTGGTTAAATGTTAATTTTAGTCCCTTGACTTTAAAATTTTATATATTTTTCATCATTCAATTTTTTATACACCTTTTTGATCCCTTAATTATGAAAAATGTATTTTTATACTCTTTCTGTTAGTTAATTTGTTAAATCTGTTTATATATACACATTTTTAATCCCTTAATTTTAGAATTTTACACAATTTTCGTCTCTTAACTTAAAAGTTTAAGAAGTAAAAATATGCATATATGAATAGACTTAAAAAATTAATTGATAAAAGAATTAAAACAATACATTTTTCATAATTGAGAGATTAAAAAAGTGCATAAAAAAGTTAAGTGACTAATAAAATTAGCATTTAACATATTCTTTTAATGGTAATTAACTAGCAAACTCAAAAATATTTTGTTATTTATAATGTCTTCTAATGCATTGATGATTTCTGATTTTCATGACACACAATATGGGTGCATATGTTTGTATATATGAATCCGTGCTGCCCTGTGAACGAGAATTATTGATTCTCCATTTCTATAATTCCATATTTTACCAAGTATGAATATGAGAATATTTTATTTTATTTTCAGTTGCCAGTGCATTTTTCTACACAGAGATAAAAGATAGCATATTTAGGAAAATGTTGTCCCAAGTAATAGGACTATTCTGGATCAAATGGGAGCTCCATGGAATGGTCGGATTTAGCCTGTTCCTACAGTTTGTGCTTCTTTTGGTTGGCAATCGTTGGAAATTGCAAGGCCGAATATCTCTTTATGTTACCATCATAGTTTGGTCGGCATACTTAACAGCTGATTGGATAGCCACATGTGCCATGAGCACTCTCCTCAAGGCCAAAGAGGATTATATCAATGGCAGACTCGTTGTGTTTTGGACACCGTTCTTGCTCTTGCACCTCGGCGGCCCGCACACCATCAATGCCTTCACCTTAGCAGACAACGAGCTCTGGATGCGGTCTTTTCTTGGCTTCATCATCCAGGTTGGAGTGGCTGTTTATGTTTACATTAGGTTCAGAGGCAATTCCAATATCCTCACTTATATGGCCATTCCTTTATTCGCAGCGGGGATTATTAAGTATGGAGAAAGGATTTGGATTCTCAGGGAAGCAAGCAGAAAGCGATTTAGCAAATCCATTTTCTCAGCTCACAAAACTCAAGTTAATCCACCGAACAAAGGTTCATGGACAGTTGATGATCGAGCTAAAACATTGGATGAGTATTTAAGAAGCAAAGGAGTTATTCCAGAAGGGAAAAACATCTATAAAGCATTTCGCCTTTACAAGATGTTCATGCCTCTCTTTTTGGACCTGAAGCTTAGGTTTGACAAAGATTTAACCCAAAAAATAATTCTACCGTCCATGTCGATTGAATTCAACGGTGCCTTCAAAGTGGTCGAGATGGAGCTTGGGTTTTTGTATGATGTGCTTTACACTAAGACTACCATACTGCAATCTTTGGTTGGTAAAATCCTTCGCGCCATCTGCTTGTTGTCCACTTTATCGGCACTAACAGCCTTCTCAATCATAGTTGATAAGAGCAGCTACCCAAAACCCGATGTTGCTATGACCTACATGCTGCTCATTGGAGCTTTCTTTCTCGATGTTTTCGCCGTCATTTCGCATGTTTCCTCAAACTGGCAAATGCTCGATCCAACCATCAGACACAATAAGGTGCATAAGTTTATCAGCTGTCTTAGATTTTTCTCGTCAATCCATTGTGGTGAGGACAAGAAGGAAATAGCGTTCATTGCACAACAGAGCTTCATAAAGTATTGCCTCCATACTGAGAAATCTTTGTGGCCAAAGATTGTACGACTTATTGACACTGAAGATACCTTCGCAAAGTTTCGGTGGACTACCTGGGAACCAGTGAATGATGATCTTAAAAAGTTCATTTATTCTAGTCTTAAACAGAAGCAGGAGAAATATCGTGAAAGCAAATTTGAGTATGAGAAGCTCTCACAATTATTAACGGGTAAGGGAAAATCCGTGCTTATTAGAGAGGGCGTTTTAGAGAAAATACAGATCTTGTCAGAGAAATTCCAAAGGAGCATTGAAGATGAAGAATTCAGCCAGTACCTCCTTCTCTGGCATATTGCAACATCTCTTCTTTTCCACACTAATCATGGAAAATATACGGGTTCATATTACAGAATTAGCAAGCTCTTGTCAGATTATATGATGTATCTCCTCTTGTTGCGGCCGAACATGCTCCCTAAGGGAATTGGGGAAGAGAGGATCAGAGAAACTCGGGACGAGGTGATAAATTTCTTAAACAAGCAGAGTTCACAGACTGAAAGTGAAGCCGGTGATGCTTTGTTTAACAACAACGTCTCTTCAAGTAGAACAGACAAGCGTCCAGACGGGATCCTGGTTCAAAGCAAGTCAGTGCTCCAAGACGGGCGCAAGCTGGCGCATCAGTTGGAGGGATTGGTGGAGGAGGAGGAATTGACGTGGGATCATGAAGAAAAATGGAAGATGATTGCTGATGTGTGGATGGAAATGCTGGTATTTGCTGCTAGCAAATGTGAATGGAGAGAGCATAAGACACAGATGAAGAATGGCAAGGAATTGCTCACTCACGTAGCCCTTCTTATGGTACATTTTGGCCTGACTGGACATGTCCAAGTCGTCGATATCCAAAGCAACCAAGTGGAACCAGTGCAGCCTCAAGAAGATCGCTCGTCGCGATGGGATTGGGAACTTTCTCATTTGCCTAATTACCTGGTATAAGAAAATGTGTAATGTAATTTGGCATATAGAACTACTTTTTTTTACATTTAATTTCTTATGTTTATTGCATTTTGGCACATTAAATCTACTTTTTTTTGGCATTTAATTTCTTATGTTTAATGTAACCTGGCGCATGGATGTACTTTTTTGGCATTTCCTATGCTTCTGAAATGCAGAAATATCTTTTCCAATCCATGGTTGTAAGCTTCCATTACCTATTTAAAAAAAAAAAAAAAATTTCGTGGTTGTAAGCTAGTTTAAGGGTCTCTTTCATCATAGGGCCACTTTATTAGTAGGAAAGTTTTTAAGAGTAAGTTGTTAAACAAGTATTATATAAAAAGTTAATAAATATTATATAGAGAAAGGGAGTTCTCAATACGGTGGTGGAGTTCGAAACCTTGATCACCTCACTCAAGTACTTTAAGAATTGAGGTCGAACCATTTGGTCTAAAAGTCCGATTCAATAATAAATATTATATAAAAAAATCAGTTGGGTGTAGAGTGAAATTTTTTTATATTTAGTAATAAATTAGTATAGAAAAAATTGGTTAAAAAATTATTAAATAGGTCTTATATAAGAAAAGTTGGAAAAAAACTTTTTTCTCTTAAAAAAAATATAAATTAAAAATTATATTAAAAAAAAAAGTTAAAAATGCTACTTTTATACCATTTTATTGTAATATTAATGTATAAAAATATATAAAGTAAACCCAACCCAAACCCACCCGTTTGTTATCTCTAGCTGTATGCCTGTATGTGTAGAAATAATGCGGTGAGCATAGATCGAACACGCGACCTTCAGATCTTCGGTCTGACGCCCTCCCAACTCAACGATTATGCTGGTTGACTAAATGCTGATAATAGATACATAACACGTTAACTATTCACTCAGGTTCTGGCAATCATGCAAATGCTCCAACGCCAGCTTGCGCAATGAATATCCATCCCATGACCATGAGGAATTCTGCTGGTATCACGGACCAATAAAAATATACCATCTCAAGATTCTTTTTTCACGCTCCATTAATCATCTAACAAAAAAAATGAGATATGGTATGTTTTTATTGATGCCAAATACCACATCAGTGGTATTTCAAAAATACAACAGAAATTTTCCCTTTTCATTTCCTTTCGTGTTATTAAAGATAATACAAAAGAAATTCTGAAATTGCAATTTGGAAGTGTGTAGGGATTGTGGTAAATTGAAAATCCCAAAAACTGTTAATAAGGGCTAGTAGTTCGCCTCCAAGGTGTTTGTGAAAATTCCTCTGTATGGACCATATTTAGCTTTCTCAATCTAGTCCCGCAATTCCACAAACTTTTAATTGGTGTTACTTTTAGAAATCAGTTAAATGGAAATCATGGGGCATTCAACAAGAATCAGACATTAACTCAGCAAGGTTGCTATGTTGTAACAAGGAAAAAGGACAGGATTGCCTTCAGACCATGCAAAAAGCTTTATCAAAACAACAGATATTAGCATGTTTGATAGAATCTTCTGATGGTACAGGCTCCTAAAGAGGGAAGACGCTTCTTCCTCTGGAAGATTAAAAGGAGACTCAACACAACAAAACCTCAACAAAATGAAATTTTCACATGTGCTAGAAGCCCTTTGGAAACGTTAACAGCTCCATGAGAATATCCTACTTATACTTTGGTAAAGGGTCACCACCCCACCTACCAGTTTCAGAACAAAGATTCATCTCCTTCAAAACCATTCCATTTCTTTAGAAGAGAACGTATCACTGGCTTTTCACCGTCTGAACCTTTAAAATCTATACTATTATCCTCTTTAATGTGTGAGGACAAACACTCAACAATATGATCTTGTTGATGCCACCAATTGACGAAATCTCTAAACTAAACTCATGAAGAAAGAAAATTAAATTTATATGATCGGATGTGTTTTAGAAGGACACGCATGTGCAGAGGACCCACGCAATCAATAGAGGGCGCATACACCAAACTCACGAACATGCGAATTTAGTATATAACCATGCATATCCATTTAATCCTCTTTGGTAAAATTACAAAAATTATATCATTGATTAGAAATTTTAAAAAGATAGTAATCTTGATTAGTAAAGAAAAAACTTCATATCCTTGGTTAGAAGGTTATGTTCTTATATGTACAAAATCTCCTCAACAAGATATGAAATTCATTTTATGCCTGCCAAGAGTAGAAAGCAATCAAGGTCCAAATATATAACCATCTTCGATTTCGATTTTCATTTTCATATGTTAAAGCTAAGTTTGAGCCGATACATTACACCCACATACAAGTCATGGCGTTATCAATAGAAGCTTTTTCTTAAGTTATCTATGCCCTAGATTGAAACCATTTACAAAGCAAGTACTGCACCAATGGGAAGGATTGGATAGCAAATCATCTTACAATTCTCCAAAGGCGGTTGTTAGCAAAGGATCAAAATTCAGCAGAACTTAAGTGAATAACATCGAAAGCTTCATCATTTATTGAACTGACTACCTTTCTTAGGACAACCTGGAAAAATTGAAAGGAGAACAAGTTATGGCAACAATTATGCTAAATAAATGATTCCAAGAAGCCAGGTAGCCATAAAAAAGAAGAAGAAGCTACAGTGCTTGATTTGGGTATTGGATTACATACTAAACAAAGTGGTTCCCTGAGTACGATTAGCCAGACAAATGAAATCATCAGCTTGAGCTCAATCTTGATTTTCCATTTTTCTGCCTGCACGTCAGCATAAAGAAGAGAAGGTTAGTTGTATACAGGCATGGTAGAATTGGAAATAAGTATTCAAGATGACTAACAAGATGAGCAACCAACCAAAATGAATCTTTTTTCTCCTGTGCTAATAACTCTTCAAAAGAAATGTCAGAACATTCAATATCACTGTCTTGCATTAGTTCACCAGCCTTGGCCTTCAACTCCATGCACTCACCAATTTCAAGCATCTGAGAAATAAAAAGGTAGAAAGTTAAAGAGGGCAGGATCACGAAATTATCTGTTCTGGTGACTGGATAAGAAACTCCAGTCTCCACATCCATGGGGCAGAGAAAAACAGTATTTTCATGATTCTTCTGTTTGTAATAGTTTCCAAAAATATTTTATATGGAAGACAGCAAAGGAATCAGACTTCCATTTCTCTAGAAGACTAGAAGAAAGGGAATCACATTATCCAGTGCGTGAAGTACACTGGGTGCACATGCTTTGACTCTGATTCTAGAGCATAGTTGAAAGTATGTATCATGACAACTACCCCCATCTTTCAAGCACCAATAGGCAAACCACTAGCACATCCTACCCAGGCCTAGGCAAATCCAAACCGGAAGAGCAACTCAGATAGTTTCCAATTATAAGGATATGCAACATTTAGGAAAACAAAAATAAAATCTTGATATTTTCATTTTTGTTTTGCCCGATTCTAGCCAACAAAATACTTGCAAACTGCCAAATTAGAAAAGCACATGCCATGTCATGCAAAAAATTCACTAGAGAGATAGTCACTGTCATCTGAAGTACACCATTTATTTAACAATAGTTGAGTTGCAGTTGCAATTATGTAAGGTCAAGAAAAAGAAGGAACTTTTGAGAAACAAGAGCAACCAAAAATCATTAGCAGTGACTGCAGGAGTTGCACAGACAAGCTCTAACCAGCACTAGTTTGAACAATGAATATATCATCTGTTTCTTCAAAAGCTAGATCTAGACCAACACATTAATTCATATTAAATCTGCATTTAAGGTAAGTGAATGCACCATACCTTTTTGTAAGCTGGGGAAAGTTTGAGTTGCTGTTGCAGCCAATTATAGACAAATGCATCCTCTTCTAATCTCTTCTGTTCCATCTCTAGTTTATATATCTAAAGACATCAATATGTCACAAGGAGATCAAGATGTAGGATACATTCAGTTGGTTTGTGTTAAAAGTTAGGACGAACTTTAATTATTCCTCACCTGTTGACGAAGGCGGTCAAATGAAGATCTATCTGCTTTAAGTAGTAAAGCCTTTGTTATTGTGAACTTACGTTTGATGACCTCAGATCTGCATTAGAAAATGCAGTCTTAACAACTTAAGATCACATCCAGAAAGTTAGGATACAGGACTTAACTTATGCTGGATTCACAAGCCACAAACCGATAGGGAAATATGATATGATAAATATTAAAATATAGGAATGGTGATAATGTAATATTCCAGATTCTGGAGGGCATCATGCAAGCTTTAACAACTCAAATAGGTTATAAAGATATTAGTCCACGTTCCAAGATTTCATTCAGGAAATTCTTTGGAGAGATCAAATACCATTACCATTTGAGAAGTGGTTGACAATTAAATCAGTTCAGGACTCTTTAATAAATAAACAAGAAGCAAGGACTTAAGATTTCATAGAGGGAGAAGGTGGAAGAGAAATGCTTTAAAAGTTGGAAACTAGTTTCCAAAAATATGGAAAGAACTTTTAAACTTACTTGTGCTGCAACTCATTTCTTGCCTCAATCAAGCAATTAGCAAATTCCCAAACCTGCATTGATGTAACACAGAATGATAAAGTCACAGGTATTGCTGTAGTCCAGTACAATCATTCAACCAACATTACAATTTCTAGATAAATCTCAGAAAACCTAAAAAGAAAAAAAATAAATAAATACTCTAGCTAATACATGCTAGGTGTTAGAACTAGCATCTTGTAAGATAAACATTATCAGTTATGTCATCTTCTTTTTTTTCAGTTATAATACCTAGCAAAGCAGGCAAGCCAAAAATCATGCAAAGCTTTTACTGCAAGCTACTTCACTTTCAATAGAAAAAATGAACCAATAAATAAACACAAAGACAAGAAGGCCTTAACCAAAGATTTGCTAAATTCATACCATGACTGATAAAAAGGATGCTAGGGCACATAAAAATTCCGAGAGCACTAAAAAGATCCTTAAAAGTTCATTAACTTATCAAAGGGCAAGAAGTCAGAATCTTTTGCTTAAAGATAATGATTGAGTTCCTTCAACATCCTGTAAAATCATGAATTTATGTTTACATCTAAACAGTTTTCTCAAACATGGGGTTAGGATGGAAGCAAATGCCTTATTTAAACACGAAGGTAAAACCAGTCTTAAAATTCAGAGCAGAAAGTTAACCATCCAGACTTAGAGCTTACAATTCTGTTATAAGCACTGCTACAACTTTCCTATGGTTTTATCAGCCAAGAAATATGTTCAAATAAATAAATATGTTCAAATAAATACAGGAGGAAAAGATGCTCCAAGTTCCCCAATGGTCACATGTTCTAGCCCTACATTTCAAATGAAGTTTCCAAGCAAGCATCAATAATGTTTATTCTGATTTTTCACTTTCAAGAATCATATCAGATGCTATAAAATAAAATCCCAAAAAAAAAAAAAAAAAAAAAGCACACACACATAGCACAACTAGGTCCATCTACCTTAAAAGGCTGAAAGTTTCTAAGTTTCTGGCACAATGGTTGGTCAAAAAAATTTTCCAATTAGTGAACATACAAGGCAATGACCAATTAAGACAGAAATGACAGCTCTATCTCCCAATGTTCCACTAGTTCCTTCATGCAAATTAATCTCACAAACTTAATCAAAATTCTTCAATCCTTTCATTTAAACTGTTCATAATTCTGCCTCTGACTACATCTTCATTGAAATAAATTTGCACTTTGCCTCTTTCTCAGAGTCCAGATTCATAAATTGTTGGGTGGATGCTCATCTTGTAAAATTTCTAATACACAGCACGTTGTGAAATGTACATTACCCAATAATATGATATATAGCTCTAATTCTGTCTAGGAATTCATCAAACCTGGCTATGGTGCCACAATCACCAACAGACCTCTATCCAAACCGGCAGATAAGGAAACGAACAATGAAGTTCCTTTGAAAGACAAGATCTAATGTTCACATGTCATAACCTCATAACATCATTTCACATTTTATGCATCTTATTGGCCAACCAACCCATTATTTCAAAATATAATCCAAACAATAAAGTCTCAAATTCCTTACACTGCTCCCAATCTATATACTGTGGAGTGGATGAACTACACAATCGGAGGAATGAGGATCATCCCAACTATTTCAATAAATGATGCCAAAATGAAACCAAAATCTACATCCCTCTGGTGCATTTACATTTTACATTCTCTTCACTCTTGTCATTGGTCTCCTCTCTTGTCTTTGTCTTTGTCTTTACATCACATGCTAGGAAACTTTAACCTTTGTAAACAAAAAGAATAACTAATAACAGAAATAATCAACAATCAAGTAAAGGAAAAAGTAGGAGCTTTCTCCTGTTGCTTCAAAAGATAAAAGCATCATCATGTTATTCACCACACATAGCTTAGAGATGATTAAAGGAATATTAAAGGATTTAAACTTATCTTAACCTAACAAGCAACTAGAAGAATTCCTTTAATATCAAGGTAGGCAGCACATGAAGCACACACTAAGTTAAAGCAACATTCACCGGATTTTAAAATACAAAAATCGGCCGACAACAGAAAGTGCCCATTTTGATCGCATGCCATCATCATTTACTTAAAAACCTCCAATAATCCAAGAAGGGGAAAACAAGAGCAAAAAAAATTTGGAGTATCAATGTGAAAAATAACCTGAGTCAGTGTCAATCCCTTCTTTTCGTGACACTTCATGAGCTGTTCATACTGCTGCTTGATCTTCCTCTGCGTAGCACTACTGGTTGACGTGAAAGGGTACAAACAAACAAGCTCCGGCTTCAGCCGCGAACGTGCACCCGGAATTGAGTCCTCTTTCTCCACCTCGGAACACCTTTCCTCACCATTTTCTTCACTTTTCGAGTCCAGCCTCTTCTTCTTCGCTCTCTTCTTCTTCTTCTTAGCCCTATGGTCACCACCCATATCACAGAGCTCCTCCTGTCCCGACCCGGCTGGACCCGGTCCCTCCTCCCGCTTTTCTTCACCAAACAGACAACCCCATTTCGCAGAATCAGGAGGCAAGATCTCGAAAAGAAGCGAATGCGAGAAATGGGTCGAGTCCTTCTCCCGAGCTTGTTGGGTTTTCTCCACAATCTCTTCCAGAGACCGCTTCAACAACGAAGGGTCGTTTCGGACCTTCTCTTCCTCCTCTTGCCGCCGTTCCCGTTCTTTCTGATTCTGAACTTTTCTGTACAAATACGGGAAAAAGAACAAGAGGGAAACAGAGAAGGAGAAGAGAAACAAGAACAAAAACATGGGTTCCCTTAGTTTTTCTAAAAACAGTGAGAGTACGAGATTAGATATGGGTGAAACCAGAACCAAAAACATAGCCGCCATGGAAATTGAGACGCGTCATGTAGGCAGAGATAATGGACAACAGAGAGAGAGAGAGAGAGTGGAGGAAAGGAAAAGAAAATTAAAGCGTGTTTGGATAAACGAGGGGAAAGCAAAAAGATTGGTGCTTTGAGAGAGATTACAGAGAAGTAAGAGTCCTCTGCACACGCTGCCGCTGCTGCTTTGAAGGTTCCACCCAATTTGATACGATAAATTATATTTATAGGAATATCTAATGAGATATTAATATTAACGTGTTGTGCGGGTTGCACTGCTTCAGTATTTAAAAATTATATTAAATTTTAATTTACTTAAAATTATATTAAATTAAATTTTATAAAAAAATATTTTAGTCTTTTTTATTTAAAATTTTAAATAAAATTAAATTTTTTTCACTGATGTCAATAGATTGTTAATATAACAATGTTGTTATAACTGTACATATTATTGTTAGAGTTAATTAATATTTTAAAAAATTAATTATTTAATTAAAAATTCCATTCACATAAATTGCATTTCAAATTGTAAGTACTAAAATGATATGCATAATTTATATAAATAAAATTTTTAATCTTATTATTTATTTTTAAAAATATTAATTAAACAAGTCTTTAAAAAAAATTATAAATACTATTTACACTATACTAATCCCTAATTTGAAACTATTAGATGAGTGAATTTTCTAAAACTGGGGATTTCCTTTCCCGTGATCTTTATTTTAGAGTTTGGTCCAGGACATATTACAAAACATGGGTCCCTGCTGATATTGTTTTTTTAGAAACATGATGACATCTTTTTATGGCGCATGATTAAGGAGAAAATCACAGGGTCAATTTTATGGTCAACATGATTTTGGGTTTGAATATGGGTTCTTGGCTTGTTTTGATTATTTGCAAAATTAGATTATATTTACGGT